CACGGGGGGTGGCAGGGGGAGACTTCCCAGCCCTGTTCCACTTCAGGGTTGTCTTGCGGAGCCTTGGCCTTCCTCTGCCTGAGCTGCTGTCCCCTCTGCAGGTGGCAGTGGTGAAGCCGGGGGATGCAGGAGAGGCACAGGCCCCCTGTGAGCCGCAGGCACCGGGGGCAGAGGTGGGCTCGGAGGAGCAGCAGCAGAAGTTGATGACGCTGCACGTGGCAGAGCCAAGGGAGACGTTGGTGCAGGAGGCGTATGAGGAGGCGACCCTGGGTGGCTCAGAGCTGCAGCAGATCACTATCCCCTTTGGTGGGACGACAGAGTACAGCATCATCACACCCATCAGCGAGGAGATTCAGGCTCCAGGCACGCTGTACAGGTCAGCTGTGTGGGAGGAGTGGGGAGACGGAGGCGCTTCTGACCTCAAGTGAGGAGGGTTTAGTGGTGGGAGGCTGATCCTCCCTGACCCCATCCTGTCCAGCAGCGAGGAGGAGAGCCCTGCGGAGACCTCCCACGCGGTTGTGGTGAGCGAAGCTGTCATGACAGAGGAGGCTCTGAAGGACCATAACAGTCACTATATCATGTCATCCGATGTCCCGGGGAGCCAGTTCCATCACATTGAGGTAAGGAGCTGAGCTTTCTCCCTCTCTGGGGCAGCAGCGTGAGCAGGTGTGACTGGGTGTTTCTCTCTCAGCCCCTCAGCGGGGACACTGCCTTTCCCTCGCCTGCGGAGGGCCAGGAGGCACAGCCCGCCGGCGTCAAGTGGCCCCTGGTGCAGTGTGTCACCCGGCAGCTCCAGAAGGACTCGTCTTTATCCCCAGCCTCCGAGGGGCAGGAAGTCTCATCCCCAAAGGTCAAATGGCCTGTGCTCCAAGGCATGGCCAAGAAGCTCTCGTGCAAGGTTTCCACAGCCAAGAAGCTCTCGTGCAAGATTTCCACAGCCAAAAAGTTTTCATGCAAGATTTGCACAGCCATGTTCACAGGGAGAGCAGAAATGGAGAGTCACAAGAGAGCCCACATTGGGCCCAGCACCTTCAAGTGCCCCGACTGTCCCTTCACTGCAGCCCTCTGGCCGGAGGTTCGGGTAGGTTCCCTGGGACAGAGCAGCCCTGGGAGCGAGAGGTTTGGAGAAACGAGGCCTTTCTGACCCTGTGCTTGTCCTTCTGTCCCCAGAGCCACATGGTCCAGCACGCCAGCCTTCGGCCGCACAAGTGCACCCACTGCAGCTTCGCCTCCAAGAACAAGAAGGACCTGCGCAGGCACATGCTGACGCACACCAACGAGAAGCCCTTTGCCTGCCAGATCTGTGGGCAGAGGTGAGCGAAGCCTGTTGCTGCTCTGGGAGATCTGTAGAGCTCTCCAAGGCTCAAGGGGAGATGGGATACTGGCAAAGGGCCGGCTGCCCCCAGCCTCCCCCCGGAGCAGTCCCCTGTTAGAGGGGATTCTGCCCCTCAGAGCGGGTCCTGCTGCAGGTGACCCCAGCTTCGTCTCCATGGAACTTCTGCACAGGGGAGGTTCAGTACTTGGGCACTGATGGAAGCGTTTTGGGAGCTGGGACGTAGGACGTGCTTGTGGTGCCCATGGCCTGGGTTGCACAGAGACCCTGTGCTGCCCGTGGCAAACTCCCCCTCGCTCCCCTTCCTCCTGTAGGTTCAACCGTAACGGGCACCTCAAGTTCCACATGCAGCGTTTGCACAGCTCGGAGACGAAGAGGCCGGGGGCGCCTGCAGCTGCTGCCCAGCAAACCATCATCCTGAACAGTGATGAGGACACGCTGGCCACTCTGCAGAGTAAGACATGTCCCTGTGACCAGGGGTGACGTGTGTCTCCTGTGTCCAGAGCCCCATGCGTCGCCCAGGCAGGGCTGAGATGGGTCGGGGCCAGGAGATTGCTGCCAAAGGTTGGGATTGCTGGTGGGTGCAGAGACAAGGAGGTGGGTGCAGGGAGCTCTCGGGGTGAGGCGCTGGCTGTTGTGGGGTCGGCGTTTCCTCCGAGCAGGTCCCCGTAGGTCAGTGCGTTGCAGGAGCAGTGGTGCTGTGAGCAGTTCGTAGGAAGTGGAGTTCGGGGTCTGATGTGGAGGTTGTGTTTTGCCCACAATGACCTCTAGTTTCCTTCTTGTTGGGAGAGTTTGGTTTAGCTTCTGACTTTCTGTGAGCAGAGCTAAGAGACTGTCCTGTGCTCCTCGTAGGGGTGGGCATCTGTCAGGGGCTGCTCCGGAGCGGAGCCGGCGGCAGCCCCAGCCGGGGCCGCAGGGGGACTCTCTTGATTTCAC